GGTTCCCTCAATGGCGGCGGGAGGGACCCACCTTTGCAAACGTGCCCAATAAAAACTTCTGTCTACTGGATAACCGAACCCGTGTCTGTCGTTTTCTGACAGGGTTAATTTGTTGAACTTCAGGAAACATCAAAATGATTTAATTGGCAAAAGGGACAATAGGCAAACAACAGCAGAGAAAGAGAGAAACGTAAACAGCAGCAAGAGATAAAAGAGAAGAGGATTTAATAACAATCATCAACTTTGTGTCTATAGCATGGAACTTTCCAGAGGTAATCAGCATGGACTGTCCCAAAGGAAGGGCCTCTGGTTATTGCAGCTTTAACCCTTTTATGTACACAGCAACCAAACAGAGATGGAAAGAAGGACACCAGGTGATCCCTCCTCTATTCTGCACCATTAAAGAAATAGGTTGATGGACGGGGATGCTGAATTCCAATGAAACCATGGTGGCTTAATTGTTGAAAATGATTTCCTGAAATGTTGAGGTGAGAATAGACAAAATATGCATTGTTAAACCTCTAATATGCCTGACACAATTAAAACTGCAAAATCAACAGCCCCTTAATTCTACCACAGGGAAAAAGGGATATTGTTGTCAATGTATTCCCATTTACAATTATCATAAAGGTTCAAAATGGATAAAAAGACTTATGGTATGGAACAAAGTAAGACAGGATTTGAAGAACAATTGTGCACCGATGATGAATATGTAATTGCTAAAATGTATAAACTTTTATTGAAATTTGAAACAGAGGAAGAACAGATTAAAGAGGTGTATGATAAAGTGGGCTAAGAATTTTGGTTATAATATACAAATGGATCAATGGGAAAATGTGTGGTTAAAAGGGTTGAAATTTACATTATGTTATGATCTTAAAGAGAATTTTTACAAAATGATGCATCGTTGGTATATGATGCCAGAGAAATTATCTAGAATGTATAAAGGGATTTCAAATATATGTTGGAAATGTGAACAACATGAAGGGACATTTTATCATGCTTGCTGGACATGTAAAAGAGCTAAAAATTTTGGGATTCAAATATGTACATTGATACAAAGGATTTTAAAGATCCTCTGTATCAATGAGTTCTGAAGCCAGAACTTTTCCTTTTAGGACTGATGGATACAGAGTTAGAAAAGAGTCATGGAAGATTATTTCAATATATGATTACTGTAGCAAGATTATTATATGCACCAAGATGGGAAGATTTGGTACTACCCGCCATGGAGGAATGGTTGGTGAATTTGACAGAACTTGCTGAGATGGATAAACTGACTTCTTTGATTAAAGAAAAGACAATATCTACATTTATTGGTGACAGGAAACCCCTTATGGACCTTTTGTGTAAAAATGAAAAAAAAATTAACTTGTGATTTGTGGTTTTGATGATTAGACAGGATAGATTATAAAAAGAAGAGAGGCATGATGTAGCTTTAGAAAGAGGTTAAAATATAATTGTACTTATAACTGCTGTGAAGAATATTGGAAGCCATTTCTTTAAACCTTTATATCTTTCTTTATATCTTGTTCTATTTTTTCTATTTTCTCTTCTTATTGTACTTTTAGTTTTTTCTGTTATTTCTTTTTTTCTTTCTTTTTTACTGTTTCAGTTCTACCAGAGGGAAAAAGATGGAAAATCCTGATCCCACCCACATGCAGAATATACTCCTGCTCACTTTGCTCCGTGTTGGTTTTTGTATTGTTTTACTTTATATATAAAATGCTTCAAGTGAGTTTATACTATCCTGAGAATGTTTCTTGCCAAGCAGCATAAAAGCCAACAAACACACAAGAATTACCAGCCATTTATAGGAGATATCCATAAGGTATTGTCAAAAAAGTCAAGATGGTGACCATGACAGCACCACTGAATCTCCATTTGTTTTCCTGTCTGTCTGTCTGTCTGTCGGTTGGACCTTGTCACTTGCTTCTCTTCTGGATTTATTGCCTGACAGATAGTTTTGACCAGAAGTACAACCTTGACAGTTTTACCTTAGCCATCTCATGGAAGAAGCTGGAACTGCTTATCTTATAGGCCAAGTCAACACAGAAAAAATATTCTGTATTCAGAATGATCAGATGGATCAATACTTGTAACATTAATCACTTAAAATAGAACTAAGAATTTGTTCTTAGAACAAATAAGAATTAAGCCTTTGGTCTGAATTTGCAGGGCTCCCCTTATATTCTTAAAATCAAGTTGTACGTGGGCAAGCTTGTGGAAGATCAACATGGTACCTTGTATAGGTTGGTACACGTTCATAAGGCCACAGGCACCTACCTTGCAGTTTCAATGCCAAGTGCTGTCATGGTTTGGAGTCCTTCCCTCTGTTTAATGTTCTTTGCTGCTACAAGCACTTCTTCTGTGGTTGTATATGTGTTGAGATTAAATTCATTGGTTACATTTTCTCCATATTGAATAATCCCAACCTGGAATACATAACCTTCTGCTTAGGAAATCTTCACAACAATGCCATCAGTCACAAGACAGGAACTGAAGATTATATCTTTCAGTTGAAGACAACAGACCACCCATACTGTTAGATCTCTTTTGTTTTACATGGTAAACCAGAGTTGTTAAAATGTGGTTTACTAAGAATAAGCAATAAGCTGTTGGACAGAGTTCAATTACAGAGACTTGGCTGTTCTTGCCACCTGAAGCAACTAAATAAATTAGGACTGCAATGACCAATAATTGTACATAGGTTGTATATAATGTATAAACTCAGAATTTTGGCTTATTTGTTCTTCAACAAGCCATGGCAACCGATTCTAACTTGTTCAAGGAAATCCATCTTGGTTTTTGTGGAACATGGTTCATGAGTCTCTCCTCTGACAAAACACAATTCCCAAAATTGTAATTAACAGAATTTTTTAAAATAAAAAAATGGCAAAATTTTAGTAACTGCATCATTTTAGTATTGTATCCAAGGCCTGAAAAAGTTACTAGCCCGAGTCTTAACCATTCCTGGTGAAAAGAGAAACCAAGCTTGAACAATCAAGTAATCATACACCACAAGATTAGCAATCATTTTTATTATTATTATTATTATTATTATTAATATGCTAACTCCCAACAAACCTATATATAATTAAGCTCAAAATTATGTAACATGGTCATCCACATGCAAAACAAATCCAGATTGAATTCTAAAAGAATCTTGTAGTTTGTGAGATTAATATATTCAAGTTTTCTCTTTGGTCCAATACAAATACTTATTTCCTGTTTTGTTTTTGCTTTTAATGAATAATTCTTGAATTCAGTCTTCTTATTTGAGTGTCTAATTTACTGATTGACTGATTATATGCCATCATGTTGATGTTGACTCTTAGTGATCACATAGACAGAATTTCTCCAGGATGATCTGTCCACAAACTGGCCCTTCAGGTCTTCCAGTGGTCTGCCCATTGCTGCTGTAATTGAGTCCCTCCACCATATTGCTGGCCATCCTCCTTTTCTGTTTCCTCCCACTTTCCCAGCATTATAGACTTCTCCAGAGAGCTAAGGTCTTCACATGAGGTGTCCAGAATATGGGCCTAGTCATTTGTGCCTCAAGTGAGAACATCAGATTGATTTGTTCTATGATTCACTTATTTGTTTTCTTAGTTATCCATGGTATTTCCAGGAGTCTGTTCCAACACCAAAATTCAAAAGTGCCCAGTACTCTTTCTATCCTACTTTTGCTTCCCCAGTGTCACAGGAAAAATCATTGCCTATACAAATCTGATCTTTGTTGGTGTAGACACATATAAGGTGTCTGAATATCTTTTTCAAGGTCTTTGATGCTCCCCTATTAAGTGCTACTCTATGGTGTATGTCTTGTCTACTGTTCCTTTACTGTTGACAAGTGATCCTAAAAGGCAGAATTTATCTATCACCACCACATCTTCATTATCAGTTCTAAGGCTGGTGGCTTAGAAATGTTATCATTAGTTTGATCTTCATATTTAATTTTAGGATTTTTTTTTTCAGTGTGCTTCTTGACTTTCATTACTAGAGCATCCAAATGATTTGCATTTTCAACTATCAGAGTAGTGTCATCATTATAACACATTATTGATGCTTCTTTCAATTGTTAACCACATTAATTTTTTTCCAATCCAGCTTCCCTTCAATATATATTCATCATAAGAATGATAAATAAGAAGAGACCATACAGTCTTGTCTCACTCCTTTGCAGACCTGGAGCCAGTCTATTTCACCATGTTCCACCCTATTTTTGTATAAGTTTCTTATGAGAACAATAAGGTGTTCTCATTTTTAAAGGACATTCCACAGCTAGAATGTCCTTTCTAGAATCAGTGAAGCACACACTGGCTTCTTTTTGGTATTCTTTTGGTATTTCTCAGTTATCCAGTGTGCATTAGCAATAATATCTCTTGTTCTTCAGCCTTTTCTAAACCAGTTTGAACATCTGGCATCTCTCTTTCTACATAGGGCTCTAATCTGCTTTGGATGATTATTTTGTATATGTGTGAAATTGTACAATAGTCTGCACACTCTGTTAAGTCTCCTTTCTTTGGTATCAATATGTAGACTGACCTCCTCCAATCTATTGGCCATTCTCTAGATTTGCTGCATAGTTTGGTTAGAACTTTTACTGATTCTTCCTCTGTAAATGTCCATCAATTCCTATAGCCTTCTGACATATTAATGACCACAGTACTTTCTTCTATTTCTTAGTTTTGGCAGACTCTTTCCACACTCATCCTTAACAATCTGTTTGATTTTATTCTACAGTTCCTCTGATTCCCTGTCAGTGAGTTCAGGACTTCAAGTGATCCCTGATGTTCTCCTTGAAAATGATATAGATGTACGCAAAATCATATTGTGGAAACTGGTTGACTTCTTACTTCAGTTCAGCTTGACTTGGAACTTGCACACAATCTGTTCCACAGCAAGTCCTGGCCCTATCTTTGCTGTTATAATTGAGCTGTTCCATCACTTTGTACTAATAATATAGTCAGTTTGAGTTTTGTGTACTCCATATGTATAAATGTCACTTCTTCTCTTGGCAACTGCCAACAGGTGGGTACCCATAATTGCTGATCAATTTCCTTTGTAAAAGAAAGGTGAAATATAGCAAAATAATGATGTCTTTTCCAAATAAGTACCCTTTTCTTCATTTTCATCTGCTTAATTTTATGAAAGGTTCTGGTCTAAATGTGAGCTATGCAATGTTCCATTAGCATATTTCAAATATATGCTTGGGTTTGATACTTTGAGTATGCTGCTCAGTCCAGCCACTGGGTGCTAATGTACTCTGATTTGGCAAATTTATCTCTTACTCATCCATTATTAAAACTCTCATAATATTAAAAGACTGAAAATCAATATGACTGATCTAGACATATCCTTTTATAGCTGTACCAGTTTACATTTTAGCTTTCAGTTTTACAGATGTGCTTCTCAATCTGTTTTATAACTCATCCCTTTTAGTACAAACATCTTTGTTTACTGGTTCTCTTTGATGCAATTAAAATGAGGAATGTAAGCTTTATTAATGTAAGCTTTATTAAGAGTCAGGAAACTGATTAAGACCTGGCTTTTCCACAAACCTTTTGGGGACTGAGAGGCTTGTATGTGAACTATTAGAATATTTGTCCTGAGTTGAAAGAGGAAGTTGTTGTGTGTAATATAGGATGTGAATATTAGTGAAATTCTATCAGTCCAATTTGGTGTGAATTTTACTATATTTTGGTTGTTCATTTTGTTGAGACTTTGTAAGCCACTTAGAAACATTAGAATGAAGTGGCAGAGAAGTCTCAGTAATGAGTAAAATAAGTAAAATAAATAAGGAAGTTGAATTTGACAAATATGAGCAAAGTAAGAATATTCTTCAAGCTATGATGATATATTTTCACCTGAATTCCAGTTGCTGGGAACAATAATCAAAAAACTTGGTTGCTTTTCTCTTGTCTATGGATTTCCCACAGTTGGTTCTTGCTGGTCATTATGGAAATTGGGGTGGATCAGCAACATTCTGTTTTCAGTTTTTAAATTTATTAAATACATTTGGTACATCTGATTCTATTGATCTTCTACTTTAGAAGATAGACTTCTCTGTAGATGTCTACATGTCTCATGCTTGTGCAATGTATAATGTCTCCCTTGATATGCTTGTGCGTCATAGTGCTTGTATGGGAGTATGCTTATAGTGCTGGCACAGATGTTATGGAATACCATCCCCAAGCATGGTTTCTATTCTTAGCAGTTGATATGGATGTGAGTGCATGCACACCCACACACAAACACACAGAACGGAGCTCATTTCAACTTCCTGAAAATTCCATAGTGTTCCGCCATAGGGAACAATGGGAACTTGAAACAATATTCTGACTTTATTTTTGATCCTATGTCTGCAGAAATTGGTGGAATGGCAATCCAATCCTTGATGACAATCTATAGTTCTTCCATGGATAACCCAGTGATAGATAGATAGATAGATAGATAGATATTTATTTATTTATTTATTTATTTATTTATTTATGCACTTTATACACTTATAAGGGCATCCAATTCAAGCAATGTGACTCTGATATGCGGTATATGATATCCATGATCATGTCCATCTACATTGTGTCCCCCTTCTTTTACTTTCCTCAATATTGCCATTTTTTCTAGTTCATAATTCTCAAGCACAACAAGCCTCAAATGTATGAGTTTCTGCTTCCTTATTATTTGCCTCAAGTGAGGAGTTGGAATTGATTTGGTCCAGGATTGATTGATTGGCTGGTCTTGCAATTCATGGTACTCTTAACATCTCCAAATCTGTAATTTGAAGGTTTAAATTACAAGGATGTAATTTAATTTGATTTAATTTTGAAATCTTTAATTTGAAGATTTAATTTCCAGGAGTGTCCAAAGCAACATTCATTGGCTTCAAAATGGTGGGTGTGACCAGGTGATCAAGCAAGTTTCACATGCTTTGCAGGCATATAAAAAATGGTGAGGTTTCAATCACTGGTGGTATCCACCATTTTAAAGCCAGAGAAGACTGTTTTGGACACTCCTGCCTCTTTCTCTTTTTCAATATCCAACTCTAATAGCCGTACATTATCACAAGGAAAATGTTTGCATTAAATATTCTGATCATTATTGCCATAGAAATAGCCTTATTCTTCATGGTGTCATGTCATCTAAATTTGCAATTACCGTCCTCCATAGGATTAATCTTCTTTTACTTCTCCAGCACACAGTCCACTTTTATCTATTCTTGAGCCTAAGACAACAAACCTTCATCTATACTTCTTCAACTCAATTGTGAATTCACAAAGCATACTGGTTCATTTTATCTTTCTATTCTTAGTATTTAATATTAATAAAGATTTTAAAAAAAATTTCCACTTGTACTTTCCCAAATAGTTTTTCTAAGGCTTTTACCTTTATCTAACAGAGTGGTGTGGTCTTCATATTTCAAACTATTCTTGGTTTGACCTCCAGTTTTGATTCCAGTTGTTATATATTTTGAACATGCCATTCTTAGAGTATATTCACTGTAGAAGCTAAACAGATATGGAGATGTGTCCTTGCCTGTCTATTCTGTTTCTCCTAACTCTGTTCTTACAGTAACTTTGTTCATTGTAAAAAATTTTCAAAATAATAATCAGATGTTCTGGCATGGTTTGCACACTCAAAAACCTTAAATGCTCTTCCCAATACCCATTTTATGTTAGTTATCTGGTCATGTATTCCTCTGCCTTTTCTGAAACCTTCCTGCCCATATATGGCTTTATTCATCTTTGTAAGATCTTAAGGAAACCTTTGAAAGATCTTAAGGAAATCTTTGCTTGCTAGTGTAATATTTTGGCAGTATGTGTATATACACCAATTTTTCAATCTATGCCACATGGTGGTTTTCCATGTTTGTTGACATACAGCTGTTTGGACTTTAGTTGCTTCTTTTCTGAAAGCTTTCAACAGTTCAGTCAGTTCATCTCTGTCTGGTGCTTTTCTACAGATAGTTTATTGCTTTTAAGTGGAGTCAATTCCTAAATGCGTTCTCTCTATATAAATTTACTTATTTAAAATATTTCTTGTTATGTTATTTATTTATTTAAAAGATTTCTATGGCCACACATCTTAAAACACAGCTCAGATGTTTTTGTCATTCTATATCAATCCTAATTTTAAGAGATTTCAGTATAGTCTTTCAATTGTTCTTTGACCACATTTTCCTTGTCCATGTCCTAACTTCCATACACACATAATATATATTCCCATCATGCTATTTCTTTCAAGGCAAGCAACATTATATAAAACACAAAAATAGAAGGAGTAAGCAAAAGAAACTAAAGGCATGAGATAGGAGAAAATGAAAGAAAATACAGCTGCGTCTAGTTTACAACTCCCCAATTCACTATATTTATCTATCCTTGCAAACCATCCTTGCTTTTATTACACCCACATGCTGACTCATATACTGCTTTTTGTTCTTTGAACTTCTCACTTCCCTGTTTCTAAGATCTCATAAGCTTCCACAACTTTCTCAGTCTTCCCCTTCCTCTCAACTCATTTACTCTCAATTCATACATTTCTTTTATGTCTTGACCCTCATTCATTCTGTCTTCATGACCCAACTACCTCAACAGACTTATTGTGTCTATTTGACACTCACTTTTGTATATAGTGTAGTCAGCATTCATTGATCACCCACTCTTGCTTGACCTTATCTCTTCTGCTTTTACCACACCTACTTCTTAAGTGCCCAGTTCCCACTGCATGCAACTGTGGGCAGAAACACATCATCGTGCCCAGCCATTGTCTCCATCCATCAACTGCCAGTACAATAGAAGAATAGAAAGTATACAAAGAGCATCCACCCAGCAAAATTGCCTCTCAGCCTATCTGATTGCTGACTGGGAATTTAAAAAGTCTCTTGAAACTCTGAAGGTGCCTTAGCAAGTGGCAGCATCTGGCAGATTTTGTCTGGTCTTGGGTGCTTAGCAGAGTTCCTTCTGGTTCATACATTGAAAGAAAACCTACAGGAAACAGCAGGGCTGTAAGCTACAGTGGGCAGTAGGGAAAAAACTTTATGGAAGAAGCTAATGGCATACATTACTCCAAATATGAATTTAACATTTTATAGCTTTAGGCTGGCCATAAAAAAAGCAATGAAATAAGTGTAAGGAGAAAGTTCTCTGCATACTCATAAAGAAGCAATAGGATTTTCTCAATAGACCTAGCATTCAACTCATGGTTCTTTTATTGCCACTTCTGTGTTTTATGCAAATATGCACATGTCTTTAGTATCCAAATGGAATTTTGTCCGTTTGAAATAGAGTTCACATCTTGTTTTTGGAACTATAAATGTTTCTTAGCTTTGCACAATGCCTGAAGCGGCATTGGAAAGTTACTCCTTCTTCTGTTGATGGCTGAGATGAACATATGAGTCACCCTCTGACAAGTCGATTGTTTGTAATACAGTTTTTTCCAGATGGTAAGATACCCTTTGATATCTATGCATCATCTGACATTTGTCAGAAACTATAATAGATTTCTCATCTATTTCAGAACCACTGTCTAGGATTGGTGATTTAGAATAGTTTATATAATCGTAATTATCCTTGATTCTATAGCTATGCTATAGATCAAATAAAATAAATATATATATATAAAATATTTGCCTTAGTGTACCTGTGTATCATGGGGGCCTATACTCATTTTTTGCAGTAGACGATTCAAAAATTCTGTGACATCTGTCCATTGGTAAATACTGTTAGATCCATCAAGGACAATGACAATATCCAGCTGGGACTTGCATTCTGCAACAGGAAGCATGAGATAAGGAAATGTTCAAAGCACACAATTTGGTTTTTCTATTAAAACTAAACTGACACTCTGCTACTCCTTTAATTTCAGAATAAATTTGTTTTAGGAGAGCCATAAGAGATACAATGTATCTCAGATACAATTTATATGCATCCTGAGGTGTTCTGAGTTTCTCCATTCCATTGCACTATTATCTTTTTTCCAGAATAGTTTATACAATAGAGCCCTTCAGAATGAAACAGCTCCAAGCAGAAGTTGAAGGATGAAGTTGTTAAGTTGCTATGATTTGAATCAGTGCCTCTATATAATGTGTATAGTGATGTTCTGCTTGGACAAGGGAAATGGATGTTCATCTTCTATGGGAACATGGAATTCATTGGGTCATTCTCTCTCTCTGCCCAGTCTGGAACTCAGCCTCTTCTGCCTCTAGAGCAAATGGTGGACTCACTGCTTGCACTGACATACTGATTCCATGTTCTGGAGCTTGTTGCAACTGGAGGGTGCTAGCTCATCAGTGCAGAAGATGGAGCTATTGATCCAATCTGGAAGATTTCAGATTAAAAAGCTTCTAGCAACTCTAGGTTTTCTTCAGTTTTGGTCTATCACGGTATACAGTAGCTTTGCAGACAGGAAGTGCGTGAAAGAGCATGGTTTGGTTAATGGGTATTTCGTGTATACTGGGCCTATGCCAAGCTACATGGAGATCAAGAAATATCTCAAGAATAAAGAATGCTTTCAATTTTCTTTCTCCAATTATTCACAACTATGTGATTTTAAAGTATATATAGTTTTTTAAGATTGCTATACCAACATTCTCCTTAAGATCTACTTCAAATGTTTCTTTTGTGTGTGTTCTGTGATTGCTGCAAGCCATTTTAGCTATTTCAGAATGCATAATTACAGAAACAAACTCTTCATCCAAGTTATCACATATCATGGTGACTGCCTGGGAGAAATCAAAGATGCCGCCAATATTCAGGATGCATTAAGTGTAATTACATCAATAGTTTGCTGGCTCTGGAGTTATACTACCATGTGTAGGAGTCATTGTACAGTATTACATGTATAAGAAAAAGAGAGAAAATCTGAAGTGTCCCTGAATAAAAAAGTAGACTTAAAATTAAAGAGAAATGGCATTCATTCTAATTGTCTTCAATCAAGAAGCAAGGTAAAAAAAGGAAGGAGAAGGATGGTGGAAGGGAAACCATATTCTCCAAGAAGGGCTTCAAAAAATAATCTTGACAATGTTTTTAATATAGCTTAATATAGTTTCATTTCTGCTTCTGGGAATCAACACAAAGAATGGAGTCTTGGGTCTCACAAAAAGGGATGTGTGTAATATCTTCCTTAGCAGTAAAATCAGGAGACATATTGGAAAAGTAAAGGAGAAGCTGAGACATCATGCGAATATAATAAGATTTTTACAAGCTCGGCTCATGCAGAATATGGTTTGGCTGGTTTTGGCTTAGCATGTTGTGTGAACTCAGTCACAATGGTTTCATGATTTTTTAATGTGAATATATAACTGAACCTAGCCCTTTTAGCTTGTTCACCAAACCATGGTTTAGCACAGTATGAGAATTCAGCCACAATGTGACATAATAAGCGCAAGCTGTTGTCATATATTTTCACCTCTGGGACATGCTTCCCATAGAAGCATTCTTGGTGCTCAAGATGATGAAATTTTACTCCCTGCTAATTCTTTATTTGCAGCATTTAGTTGTTTTAAACAACTAATGCGGCACTCATTATTGTATTATTCCTGTGCTACATATATTACTATGGGACTTCTACCTTGTAAACTATTACTAGAATGACCATATATTGAATATGCTGCTTCTTGACTAAACTTCAGCCCTGCTAAATAAGAGTTGCAATTCTCAGATTGGCCTAACTTTATTTCAGTCAGACCTAGCACTCAGAAGACTGGGTTTGCAGTCACACATCACAACTGCCAGTGTGGGAAGAACTGATGGAGATGGATTATATTGTCTGCATGGCTGTACCCCAGTTAGAATTTTGGGGAGTACTGGGATAATTATTGCATTTTTAACTATGGGGTTTATGGTTTAATTTGTGTGCTTTTGAGGGGTGAGAATTAAGGAGGCATGAAGCCATGTTACCAGTTTTTGGGAGATTTGCCACCAAAAGTTGGTACAGCAATTGGAAAGAACTCAGCATGTGTAGAGGGAGGGAAGGCTGTAAAAGAAAAACAGAAATTATGAGTGACTCTAGAGCTGCTAGTTTCTCATCCTTGATGGACACATACATCTTAGACTCTAGTGATCCAATCAGAAAAACAATGAGGTTGCTTTATTAGAACATTTAAAGTATTTTGTCTTCTTGAATTAAAGAGACATTTAGCTCTTGTGATGGCTTGAAGATTATTTTTAGACTGATTTTCACGTGACCTAGTAGCATGAATCTGTTTATACTAAAAATGAATTCCAGAGGCAGCAAGGAGTTAGGTAATATACGAACAAGGATAACATTTACTTAACTTGGTAATGCTAGTTGCCTTGAAAAATAGTTTATACTTCTGACATGACTCTGTGTATATATTAGACTCTTTCCAAGCTCTACCTAAGTTCAACAGATACAAGAGTAATTTTAATACATACATACATACCTCGCAATGGAGCAATGGAATTCACAACCTCAAAATTGGAGCTAACATTGGAACAGATGCCTGTTGTGTAATGGGAGTGTCCACATTTATAAGCATAAAGAGGTCCACATGCCTTTGGTAAAGAGAAAAATATTACTGTTTACTGTTTAAAGAATTGACTGTGTTTTATAGCACCTATTTTGATAGCCACAGTGGTTGATAATATGCTCACTGAAGTCCAAAATGAAAAGTAGAAAACACTGCAGCATCAATATGATGCCACAGTCACAGCAGAACTGACCAAAGGGACCTGATCCAGTTTTGGAAGTCTGTGAAGTATGAGCTTATTTTCTTAGGCTCTTGATGTTCTTTGAACTTGCTTGTTTAACACCTAAGTACAGAGAACACCAAGAATCCAACAGTTCAGCCCTGAGCTGCATATATTCTCTACCACGGTAACAAAATTATTGCTCTGGATATATCTGCAGATAAATATACACATGTGTGCATATAAAATAAATAGTTATATGTAACTCTAGATTGTGTCCCACACTCCTAGGTTGTTCCAATATCACAATGGAGGCAAGTATTACTCTGCTTTAATTAGGGACACATTTGCCTAACATTTGCCAGCAATGCCCCTCTGGATTTTACATAAACACACAGGCCAGATGTTGTGCAAAATAACAATAGAGATATGTTTGACATCAAGACTCAAAACAAGGGCAAAGTAATATCAGAGCATTTTAACTCCCATGAAACTCGATTACAGATCTCAAAGTAGTCATTTGGGGGGGGGGGAAGTAACTTTACCAGCAGAACTCAGTGAACGATTGCTGAATTCACATACATCAAAAGGTTTCAGGCTATGTCAGAAAATATCAGCACAGACAATGGGTTTTTAACACATTACAACTGCTAGTAGATAAAATACTTGTAATCTGTCTCAGTGCAATCAGCATCTTCATAACCACCCTATCTTTCCCTATCTTTTCCCCCTTGCTCATCCCAATTTAAATCTTATATCAGTTTAGCCAGTTCATACATCTCAGAAAGTAAGCTGTAGTTCACGAAAGCTTAAGCCGTATAAATTAATTTGTTAGTCTGAAAATGTGCTACCAGACTCTGATTTGTGGTTACCATAACCAAAGGCATGGAATATAAAGTACCTCTTAGTAGCTCCAAGAGTCTGTGCTAGTTATTTATACACCAAAGAGGCATTTGTCTATATTTTAGTAATACTATGTTGAGTCCAGAATTCAGGGAGCAGGATTCAGTTCATGGATCTCTGAGATCTTGGTTCCCACTGCAATTCCGCACTACCTGAACATTTGCTTCATTACATGGGTTAGAGCATTACTCAGCACAGTAGAAGAAGGTGACACTAATGAAAAGTGTCTCTCCTCATTTCCATCTGTGGAATCACTGATGGATCTAGTGTCTTACATGGACAGAAAGTAGCTTTCCCTTATTGTGTATAGTTTCTCAAAAGTAGCTAGACTTCAACTCTCATCAACCCAAGTCATATTTAATATTCAAGAGTGATGGGAACTTCAGTCCAATAATATCTGAGCAAGTTCTGTTCTCCTACTATAAATGGAAAAAAATATCTTCCATTTGTGGAAGGCTTTCATTGGACCCATGCTATGGTAAATATGCATTTTTTAAAAAATTTTTTTCCCAAGACATATATGCTCACCAAAAACCCTCCTTTGGGATTCGTCACTAAGGTTGACCCAAGAGTCATATTCTCCTTTACTTCTGTAACTTGAGGAATGGAAGTGTCAGCTACAGATAGATTAAAAAAAAAGTTAAGTATGGGATATATGCAAAGAAGATATTAAATCATACAGTGGCCTGTTTAAAACAGCAAAATTTTATTTAAAACATGGATCTTTTTGGCTTCTCTTCCTTCCTCCTCCCTGTTCCCTCTCAGTTAAAACTATGAAGTGCAAGTCAAAAGCCTGGCTCTCATCCCAGAATCTTTGTCTGGGATAATGCTTCACATAGTTTCCCTGAACCTCAAAGAGAATGTCAAAATAGCAACAGAATGACAGGAGGAGATAGGCATCCATTTTAACTTGAAAATTAGGAACAAATAAACTTTTCATCTTCTGTATAGCTCTACTGTTGGATCGGTAAATTATCAGCTGTGTACATAATATTTCAGTGGGGAAAAGAGGTTATGGGAACGGCGATGTAATAGAACTCACACTAGTTCCTCTGTTAGTAAAAACCATATATCTGACAGTGGAGGAAGTGTCTGGACCTTTGGTAAAAGATTCTGAGAAGTGGCAAATACAGCTAAAAGATCTTGCACACCCATACAAAAATGGGAAGTGAGTGGAAAGAGTACATCGGAATTTACACCAGGTCAGTTCTCAAAAACTCTCTTGTAGCACCCTTCGCTTTGGAGAGGGGACTTGGATTTCCTTTTATCACCAGCCTGTATAGTGAGCGTCCTTTGATTATGGTTGCTTGTTATCTCTGGTCCTTTGTTTGATCATTTTTTGGCTTATGACTCAATCTTGTTATGCTAGGTCAATTTGGAATTTCTTTTAAACCATTTACTTTCTTACCTGGCAGGTTTAATTTTACACATGGCAAACCATTGCCCTGTCCTACAGGGCATTTATAGACATCACCTGTTTTCTTTTGGGGCTGACCAGCCAAGGGAGAACCAATAAGGACCCTGCAGAAGGAGAATATTCATATTGTCAATGCAATACATAATATTTGCTTCAGTAGATGTAGGGTTTTTTCTTTTTAAATTTTTAAAAAATTAAATGTAATAATTGTCTTACATTTAATTAGGTTGTCTTACTATCTAAGACAAGTTACATGTAGAAAAGCTAGTGGAACAAAAACATGTTTATAATAGGAGATGGAAGTACCATGTTAAAGCACCTTCACTGATCACTTATCCTTTTTTTAGAAACACCACAAGGTGTGGTGAAATCCTAAATGACTAAGGAATCATTAGGTTATAGAGGTACAGGAAGGGGTGGGAGGGGGAGATAATTATTAAATAAATAATCTCACCATTTTCCCTCTTCATTTTCAAATTGTTGAACACTATATCCAAACATGTCTTCAACAGGGCCACTAAAAGTCATAGTATCTTTCACATCAACGTTGAATGACAGAGAGAGATGCAGCAGAACTGTTTTTTTAAAAAAGGAAAGAATGGAGAAGAATGAGCCATTCTCAGTGACGGTGTTTTATTTGCTGCCTAAAGACCATCAGAAAATTGAAATTGAAATATGTTCTTAGCAACAGTGACCTAGGAGATGCATGCCACTATATGACAACAGGTACGTAGAAGGTTTCCTGTTAGACCGCTGTGTGCTAAATTTACTACTTAAGTGCACTGTTAGTAAAGCTTCTTTGGAATCAAATATTCTGTTGTTGCAACAGCCTATGGTCAGTTTTGTATAATGGATGAAGTATGAGATTTTTATTGGGATGGGATATGGAAGAAGATGGAAGATGGAATTTTGGTCTGAAAGTCATCTGCTGGGAGACTAGTAGGCTTCCTTGTACAGTTGGTTGGCCACTCCGAGAACAGACTGCTGGACTAGATGGGCCAAGGATCCAATCCAGCAGGGCACTACTTATGTTCTGATGATTACTAAAATCAGATTCATGTCTCTCATCTGTAGTACAATTTGTCATGTTGTCATATTGTCACCAGCTGTGATTGAAGAAAAGCAAACAGAAAGACAGAAATAACATGAACAGATCATATCCTTATACTATTCTATGAGGAAGGAAAGAATTCAAAGCATTGTTTTCTAAAGGATAGACTGTTTTGTCTTTAGCATAACCTCTCACCAAAGGCACCAGAAGTTGTTATCTGAACATCACGTACTTAGTTGTGTTGGCTACCCACAGTCTTATTTTTCTTTCTCCTGGAGGACTTAGTAAAGTTTTGGGTACTGAAACTGTCAAAAACATTTTGTTTCAATGTAGGAAAAATAAGGCTGGTTACAAACTGTGACTGCACATTCAGTGCATGACTGCAAAGCCCAGAAATCAATATTTCACAGCATCGTGCCCCATAGGTGTGCAACCTATTCTATAGTTGGTGTAAATCAAGAAATAGCAGGGCAACATCTTTCGACGTGGGAAAAAAGAAGTTAAGGACCCTCTTGACCTGAACTTGGCTCCTGGCAACTCCAAGGATATTAGGCAATTTTCTTGGAAGTGGATTGCCCTTGCTTTCTTCCAGGATGTTTTTTAGGGTTTTAGCTTTACTTTCCATCTTAGCCTACAGGCCTGGAATTCCCTGAGTGTCTCCCATCCAAGAATTAACCAAGCCAAACCCTGCTTAGCTTCCAAACCCAGGTAAGGTCAGTTAGCCAGGTGCTGCTGCCAGGTGGGAAGCAACAAATCAATTGATCAACCAATCATATAAATAAACAAAATCCCTGAAGTGGGCATCCTTCTAGGATAGCATTAGTTTTCAATGAGGAGAGTTCTGGTGCTGTATGAAAGGAATCTTCTGTAATTTTCTCCAGCAAGATTCAGTCAACGTGATGGAAAAGAAATGGCTGTCAAAAAACAGTTGGAAAGAGAAGAAAACTTGGTGAAGTTCTCACGGTGGGGAATGGGCATTCCTGCACTCACATGAATGATGAAGAATAAAACAAGCATCTCTCCAGGGAAGGATGCCAATCCTTCCTTGGGCTCTTTACAGATTACAGAATGGAAAATGTGATCAGAGAAGATGCAAAAAACTGACAGCAATAGAAGATGTTCTAGAGACAGGTTAAAGCATCTTAAAAATGAAGCCCCTTTTGCAGAAGAAAACTTTTAAAAGAAATTGGAAGATAGATTTCAGTACAGTATTAGAAGCAGCTACGCTATTATGCTTTCTATATCACTCAGTACATCAAATGTAATTCCTGGAATATTTTGAGATTCAAGAAACTTTTTGGATAGAATATGAAACTGTGGCTCTCAGAAGCCTTGAGTATGGCTCCCAGGGTGCCTCCTATATCTTCCACTGTTGTACAGTAATGTTTAATGTGATGTCAGGGGAAAGCTATTAAAACAGAAAAAAAAGATCACGAAAACTGTCTTAAATTAAATGCAGTTATTTTGCCATGGCGCTGCCCACTTCACACAAGACAACCTCTGGCATGCCACTCAAAAGTAAGTGTGGCCCTTGACTTGAAAAAGGTTGCACGTCCATCTTTCTTTGATATCTCTCTGTTTTAAGTAATATTTTGTCTGATGTTTTCAGTGTTAGAAACAGTTTCAAAGTAAGATTACAAATCATTTCAAAAATTATTGTACATAGTTTTACAGTTTAAAAAAATATGTACATTTCCATACTTTCATCGTAAAAAATCTCTACCAAACTAATGTTTAAATGCATAAAATTCCACGATGCAGAACATTAATGGCAAAATGAAGCAGAAAGGAAAGCACCCCAAATTTAAGCCAAAAGTTTACATGAGCAGATATTGTTGAAGCTGCTGCTGAAAGCTCCAACCGCAAATGAACTAGGAAGGAATTCCGCAAGCCAGGTTCTAGCACTATGAATGCCCTTCTTCAGGTCACCACATAGTTAGCCATAGCAAATGTGACACCCTCAAACCGGCCTCCCCACTGGATCTTGAATCACAGGCACTTAGGGAAGAGAGAAGGTGCTCTGGGAGGACTTGAGAGTGTGGGTCAGTGTTTAGCCCTGTGTCAGATGGAAAGAGAATGCAGTGATCCTTTGTCCATTCAATTTCTATTAATGGACTCTGCAGTGAAGACATTTCTTGTGGATAACGTTCTCAGTTATAAAACATTGTAAGAAGCTGTTGATGTTAGGATTCATCATGCCTTTTATGAGTACATCATCAAGTCGTTCAGGGCCTTTTACAGTAGTAGAGGCTGAAAAAAAAAATGGAAGGAAAGTCTGCCCGCCTCCATGCATGTTCTTTGGACTCATGAGAAAATCTCAAATACTGCAGAGGCCAAATAGTCTTTTTTTAAAAACCACTGATAATCAGGGAAGATAAAGAAGGAAGCACCTTTTTGGCTTTGCTGGTACGGACAAAGATTAAAAATGCAGAGAAGTATTATTCTAAAAGAACAGCTTTATGAAGAAGCCCACTGAAAGTGGTAAAGTGTGAAAACAGGGCTATGCCAGATGGCCTGGGGGCCTGATGGGGGCTCGCACTGTTTGAATTGGCTGGTGGGATGATTGATACTGCTCCCCCCTATCATCTTGAATTTCTATAGTCTTTTTATATAGAATTGTTAACTTTAATAGGGATATTTATATTTGTATTTTTTTTAATGTGTTGGATTGTAATTGTCAGCCTCTCAGAGTTGCCCTCTGGGGGAGATGGGTGGCATATACATTTAATAAATAAATAAATAAAGATCATACAAAACTTGCATACATGAACAATTGCTATTTCATGGAAGACTAATGTGAAGATCTCTCTTCTCTCTGTGTATGCATGTGTTCATGTGTATATGGACATCTATTTTATCTGCCTCTGACCAACACCATCAGGGGTCTTTATATATCCATAACAGTACCATCTACACAGACTGGGAAGGGTTTAGGATACTTGGGGATACCCTAAGATTTGCAGTAATTCAAAACCCTCTTTCAAAATACGCCTACCGTATCTGAGCTGCAAACATCTAGACGGCTGGTAGTGGGCAGAAAAGAGACAGAAACAAATATCTTTGATGCCTTCTAGTTCTCTTCTGAATTTTTACAGCTAGATATTGTTGGCCTATTTTAAATAAACAGGAAACACCACGCAGTAAAGCTGACCACGCTCATGGGCCGAAACTGCTAACTATATGTTGAGAGGGGGAAAAATTGGAAAACTGGGGAGCAAGACAATGAAGCAGGGAAAGAGGGCATTGTGGGCTGGCTAAATAAACATTCCATGCTGCAACATTTTGTTGCAGGTCCCATTGAATCCAAGCTTTGTGTCATGCTCTTCATCTAAGGGGGAGTTTTTCAAACTTGGCCACTTTAAGATGTGTGGACTTCAACTCCCAGAATTCTCCAGCCAGCATGGAGAATTCTGGGAGCTGAAGTCCACACATCGTAAAGTGGCCAAGTTTGAAAAACACTGATCTAAGGCAAGCAAGTGCAGGAACTATGTAAGTAACAAGGAGCTTAATAGTTAATGGTAAGGATGACTGGGACTGAGAGCAGCTGAACTGTTTGCTTTTGTCAGATTACTGTAAATGTATTGTTCAATTCAATGAATATAGAAGGAAAAGCAGCTGTATACTTGTGTACCCAGCGCACATTTTATTCATAAGTCCGCCACTTTTGCACTAATACTAAACTTGTGGTAAATAATATTTTTCCCTCCCTCTCTTTGAACCCAACAGTTATTTGAATACCAGCCACATTTTGCTGCCTTCCGGTAAAAAGTTAGACAGGAGAAAACCTTATCGTGGTCCACTATACAATCCTCTTCTAACCAATGCCTCTAACTTCCCGATTTTTGCCGCTAAGGCTATTATAGTATTATAAAGCTAGAGTGTGTCTGCCCTCTGAAAAATATGCTTGCTGGCATTCATTACGGAATTTTCCTCACGCCCTATTAACCATCTTTAGGTCTGAAGTATTTAAAGGCCACATCAGAAATGTATATTGCTATTAATTTCACACTTGGCTAAAAACCAGTATTTCTGATAAAACCTTACACAAAGCTTTCCATTTTTCAGTGAAGAATTCAAACATGCCTATTTATTCCAATAAGCCAGAAAAGAACTCTTGTTTAACTTTTCTTCTAGTTTCTCTGTCTAGATCTTTAACCTTTGCCAAAGAAGAAACTGACATTTTCGACTATTACTCATGAACAATAAATACATTAAAAATAGAGTTTTCTTTGTGAAAAGCAGGCAACCATCCAGTCAAGTAAAATACAATTAAATATTTTGCAAAGTTAGAGGCATTGGTTAGAAGAGGATTGTAAAGTGGACCACGATAAGGTTTTCTCCTGTCTAACTTTTTACCGGAAGGCAGCAAAATGTGGCTGGTATTCAAATAACTGTTGGGTTCAAAGAGAGGGAGGGAAAAATATTATTTACCACAAGTTTAGTATTAGTGCAAAAGTGGCGGACTTATGAATAAATAATGTCTGAGATCTTGTAATTAATATTTCCCTGGATTTAATTAATATTTCCCTGGACTTTGTTTAAAATCTAGCGAGCAAGAGCTGTCTCCACTGCAACACACACAGTAAAATTAATTTATTAGGGCTGCATTTAAATGGACAATAAGCCAAATCAGAGCCTGTATGTTCTTCCAAGTGGATAAAACTGAGGAATCTGGGGGAAGCTCTGTTGCATAAAAATGAAACTTGTGTGATTATACAACCCAAGGCAATGTAACATGGTAGGCTAGAATTTGATCATGTTGCTATGACATACCCCACCATGTCTTGTTTTAACTGGGGATTGGTCTGGATCAGACAACACAGCAAACTGAGGCACAACATGTCTTTTTAAAAATCTGTATGCATGTTTCTATACGTGTTTTAGCCAGTACTCATTCTATTTGATGAAAGAGAATTTGCCTTACAATTTGGGTGGAATGTGGAATGGTGTTCCAACACCTATTTACTATATTTATCCAAAATGTAGACAACTCTAAATTTAAAATACCATCCCCCCAAAAGAAATAGTGTGTGAGTGTGTGTGTATACACGTACATATAGATACATATGCAGATGACAAAATTTCTGTATAATCCCAGTTTCCATCTTTTCAACTTGAGGCTGCCAACTCCAGTTGAAGCCAGTTCTGAATATTTCTCTCCCTCTGCAATACATGTGTGCATTATACATTTATACATGTATGCGTGTATATATACCTTAAAGAAACTGTATGTTCTTTAAAAAGGTGGGATGAGGACAAGAGTAAATTCATATTAATTGAATTAGTAACTTAATAAAAAAAAAATTGCCTCCAAAATCAGGGACTGCGCTTTCCTCACTGTCTTTCTCATAGAAATGGCAAGAAAGAAAAAAGATAATTAGGAAATGGGATGGGTGAGGCAAAGGAGTAGCTGTATTGGGAAAGGATGGAAAGAGAAAGAGAAGGGCAAATCTGGATGGTGACGAGACCATGGAAAGAGATAAGTGGCCAGGGATGGAAAGAACAGAGAGAGAGAGAGATCTTGTTAGGCCTTACAGAAAAGGTTAAATTCACCAGGCAGGCAGCCCCCACCAAGCAAGAGGATACAGGGAAATCTTCACAGACATCCATGCTTTTCAGCGGTCACCCTGCAGCCATTCCTGCCTCCACTCGTTTGCTTTTTCCCAACAGCTTTTATTCCTCTCACCAAATGTCAGGGTCCCTCTTCTGTTCACAGGAAATTTCAGGAAAACCTGAACCACTGTGGACAGAGTCAGGGAAAGCTGAATTCCCATTTCAACTCCTAGGAAGTGTGAACAAGCCCTCAAGCTAGGACAGAAGCGGGCTATCTTTTGATGGCTGAGGGACGCACTTAACATTTGGGAGAAACCATGAACCACTGATGTAAATAGGTAGAACTGGGATTAAAATCGTTAGCTAAGAATAAAATTACCTTTAATTCTGAAAAATATGTGTCGATGAGTCTAACTCAAAACCTAAGAAGGGCCTACACTAGAGCTAGGTTTGAATTACTGGACTCCATGGTCAAATATGGTCG